CTCTAAAGAAGACAATGGGCTTCAGCTCAGTACTTGCACTACAGAAGTTCTGGCCCATAAACTACATGGCAGGCCAGGCTGAATGAATTAACAGCAGATAATTTTTTATGTGAGAAGAGAAAGGAAGGAGGGCGAAGAATCAGCAACAGAGTAGGAGATGCCTAGTTCCTAGAGAGAACATTGGCACACGTGAGCACCTGTGGGGCAGGGTGGGTCCTGGGCAGCAGGGAAAGGCAGCCCTCAACAGCCGGACCGCACGGCTCACCTGGGACTCAGGCAAGATGAGCTGAGGTGCCACTGTCCAGTCTTTGGTGATTATCTGCTCAGGAAAGGCTAGGAGCTGGTCAACAGGCACAGCTGTGGGTGGAAAAGAGCCAGAGGAAATTTCTCTTGCTACTGATTACAAACATCCTTAGCTTATTTCTAAAGTACAGATAATCCTGATTCTTTCAGGAGAAATGAACACTTTTAAATCTGTTACATGTTACCAAGAAGTGGCCTTCTCATCTTAAAGAGGAATCAAGCATCTACCAGCCTCTGCAACAGGTTCCACAGTTGACAGTCTTTGGTTTCATGAGTGAAAGCCATAAAAGGAAATGTGTTTTTCCCTCATGTATTCCTCAAAGTTGGGCAAAAATTAGAAGTGTTTAAAATTGCAGAATTCTGTCCAGTGTGCCAAGGATGGGAATGGTAAAGCAGAAATTAACTTGATTTCAAGAAACAGCAACATACTGCGAATAAGGAGCGCTGAACAAGGGCACAAGTAGCAGATGAACAGGGGCCAGATCTTGGATGCTCCTGTGTACCTCGATGAGGAATTTGGATTTTATTCTGAATAAGTGAGAAGTCACCGTTAAGATTTTAAAAAGGATGATATCATGGTCAAATCAGGGTTTTCAAAAACCCTGGCTACTGCATGGAAAGCAGACTGTGGCCAGCTTAGAGTGGTGGCGGAAGGTGCTAGTTAGAAAGTACTGAGGTGGGCCTGATGACACACTCTTCTGGATTAGACCAACATGCTAACAATTCAAGAGGATGAGACATGGTTGGACTCAGGCTATACTGTGAATGTAGAGCCAAGAGGAAGATTAGGAGTGGGGTAGGAGAGCACGATCAGAGTAAAGAATGACTGCAAATGATCTGACCTGAAATATTGGGCAAGTGGTTCTGCTCGTTATGGAGATGGGAAAAGTAAAAATAGAGATACGGAGAGGGGGGAAGGGAGGGATCAAGAATTTTAGAGTAAAGAATGAGCATGTGCACTTGGACAAAGCTCCCAGGTGATCTGGATACACCTTCCCCTGTCCACCACCATCTAGTTGAAAAACAACCCGTTATCAGAACACAGCCTCTCAGAGGCATACATTCCCAGTAAGCAGAGAACATGACAGATTACTCAACTTCTACCCAATGG